CTACGAATCAAGGAACATCAAAGACTCTGCAGGAACATGGATACACAAAGATCAGAAATAGTGGAACACACTACACATGAATTGGCTTGATATGGTGAAAATACGAGAAAACGCAAGATCCGAGAGGCCATTGATATACTGACTGAGAGAAATCTAATTAATAGGAGACTTGAAGAAAGTAGGATCAGCGAAAACTTTGCATATTGCCTAAGCAAACTAGGAGAAGACCAGGCAACAGGAAGATCAGCAAAAAGAAGACGACTAGATCAAGGTAATATTCTTAATTTTAGGAAAAGAGATCGCATGGGGATGAGAAAGGAAGAATCAGAAGCAAAGAGGATACGTCTTCAGTAAGCCTTATCAAAATAAGTAGAACCACGACATTTGTGGGTTGGCACACAGGATACTAGGGCATAGGAAGTGATAGTCATGGTATTACAGATAGAAACAGGAAAGACACGGTGGAGACTAAAGCTGTTTGGCTAACAATAGACGTGGTTGATCTTAAACGTGATCCTTGAATCACGACTATTGTGAGCCAACCAGCTCTAGCTTCCATTGTTTCTATCCTCTTTCTATCTATAATACCAACCCTATTACTTTCTATGTCCTAATCTCTTGTATGCCAGCCCACAAACGTTGTGGTTCAACATTGAGTCAAATCAAAACAAGCTGTACCACGACATTTGTGGGTTGGCACACAAGAGACTAGGGCATGGAAAATCATAGACTTGGTATTAGGGATAGAAACAGGATAGAGACGGAGGCGACCGTAGCTAGTTGGCTGACGGTAGGTCTGTTGTATCTGAGACGTGGTACATGTAGCAAAGGTGTGACCATGACACTCAGAGGCTTGTGCCTCTAATTAGTCACCCGGACGCAAGGGAGGGCGAATAACGCCTCGAGTAGGACAGATGTGGTGGCAGGATTCGAGTGAAATAGGTGAACAGGGGGTAGAGCAGACGGATTTTATGGAGCAAGATAAAGATTGGGATAAGACTAGAAAAGAGGACTGCTTAATAATAATAAAGCAGACTCTAATCAACATTCCTTGCACTAGAATGAAAAGGGGGGAGAACGACAGTTGGAGTGTGAAGGTGTCATGTCGCTCAAAGGAGCACACCACACAATATCTAAATAAACACGGTAAAAATTGTAATAGTGAAGGCATAATAGGATGATACCGGAAACGCGAATGAACCCCGGGCAGAAGGGGAGATACCACAATTGTTTAGCACAAGTCTGGTCAAAGGATCGGCTTCACTTGTCTCTT